ACACGGTGGTACACCGGAAACTCGGCAGGACAAACTTCCATCTCACGCATTCCCGGCATGGCTGCTTCGGTAGCTATCTTCACCGCATCGGGAAGCTAGAGTCACCGAATGCATCGACTGTTCGGCCAACTGACGATGCAGAACACGCATTTTTCCACTGCGACAGGTGGTGGAGGCGGAGAAGAGACTGATGATTGATGGAGATTTGCAGAGAGCTGTAATCAGACGATGTTGGTCCCAATCTCTCGGCAATCAACGACTTCGTGGACCATGTACTGAAACCAGAGGACGAAGAAAGAGAAGCGTCAACGCAGACAAATAGTATGATCCCCTAGTTAAGTATCTTTATATATTGCCATGGGCCGAAGGCCAGTGTTTCGATGGTGTAGGGCCATCTTATTGTGAATGTGGTTGCTCTGTAATATTGTATATATATGTATTGTATGTTTTAGTAACCACAAACGATGCACGGGAGCTGGCAATTGCCAGCAGGTATTTCCGGCCTTGCGATTTCAGCTAAAAGGCCAGAGGACCGCGTCTGCTGTAAGGTTGGGCATCATGTTCAAGCAGAATATGCTATAGCAATACGTAGCTTCGGGACGTCTTCCATTCAGAAGGGAAGGTCCCACTCTTTAAGCAGTTGTTAAACAGCTCTAATAAGGTGCGGGGATTGGCCTTATGAACCGCCGCCAGGATGCGACTGGTGATACCATCCGGGCCTGGAGCTTTGTTCTTCCTCTTAGCTCTGTCAACAACTGCGTTGACTTCCACTGGTGTGAATTCAACAAATGGCTCCGCTGGTGTAGTAGGTCTACTAGGTCTGCGTTCGTGCGGCGGGAAGAGCGTACCGATAACAGTCTCCAACGTCTGGTGCTCCATGGTGGCGGTTGCTGGTGCTCCCTTAAGCTTACGCATCACCAGCTTGTAGGGCTTTCCAAATGGGTCCCTAGCTCGAGGTTAACCTAACCTAACCTAACCTTTTTTTTTTTTTTTGAAGTTATACCACAACTGGACGGGGACTAGCTCTGCCATTCCTTCCGCCCAGCCGCATCGTTTATTGAAAAAAATTACATCAACGGAGTTGGTCGCGTGCAGGGACAGTACCCCTGTTAGCGACCTTACAGATTAGAAAAACATACAAATTTGTGAGAGGCTCTATCCTCTCTATTTTTCGCTTTCAGCGTACAACTTAACTTAACTAATGTGTCTATGTTCTTCCTCGATTCTTGGTGTGCTGGTTGTCTTCGCTGTTCGTCCACCGTCTAACCAATGGGCTCCGCGTGACTTACTGCCTAGCCGCCTGTTGCCTCGCCCTCTCTTCCGCTTCTCGAGTGGTCATTATTCTAGCCACAAGAGCAGACACTCTTTGCCAATCCTCCTTTGACCGCAACATGATGTCCACCACGTTATCTGCCGTGAGCTCTTCCACTCCCAGATATACGCATGCAGAGGCCCTGCAGTGGTAGAACGCGTCACACTCGAACACGGCATGTTCTGCGTTATCTGGGGATGCACCACACTGAGAGCATGTCTTGGTACTGGCTTTACCAAACCTAAAAAGGCTGTCGTTGAAGCATCCATGTCCAGTCAGCAGTTGGCACAAGTGGAACGTGACTTCGCCGTGCTTCCTCCTCACCCAAGGTCCCAGATTGCTGATTAACCGGTGGGTCCATCTCCCTTTGCATGCAGCGTTCCACGCTTCCTGCCAGCTGTTCATAAGGAGTTCCCTCGCCGAGTCTCTGTCGGTTCCCAGGTGTACGCTGACCCTTTCCTTCGCCAGTAGCTTGAGTGGGGGCATGCATGCCGGTTACAACTGACGCTGCCTCATGCGACACCGTGCTATAGCAGCACGCTACTCTCAGCATCACCCTTCTATAAACCGACTCCATCTTGCTCATTGCTTTCTCCGTGATCGACGGGTACCAGAAAGGCGCACCGTATAACAGACGAGATGTCACCACCGTGGCTAGCACCCGACGCGTTTTTTGTTTTGGCCCTCTCAGGTTGGGCAGAATCTGGGTTAACTGTCGGCAGGCATCTCCTGCTCTCGCCGCAGCGTGCTCGCCGTGCTCGTTGAAATGGAGCCTGGAGTCGAGTAGTACTCCTAGGTACTATATGTCTGCTCAACACCGTGGGAAAATTGTTTGAGAGACTCATAAAAAGGCGAATGGAGAAACACCTCGAAGAGAATGATGATCTGAACGAGCGGCAATTCGGCTTCAGGAAGGGTCGATCCACGTTGGACGCCGTCGGAAAGGTTATGAGTGTTGTCGAAGCAGCCGGATCTGGGCCATTGCGCAAAAGAGAGCTCTGCGTGGTCGTGGCTCTGGATGTTGCGAATGCATTTAACACCGCAAAATGGAAGAAGATCGAAGAGTCGATGCATGACAAACGCATGCCTCGCTACCTCATATCCGCGATCCAGAGCTACCTCAAAGACAGAACGATCGAGTACGAGGGCGGAACACGGATCACTACCTGCGGCGTTCCACAAGGATCCGTGCTCGGACCACTCCTGTGGAACTTAATGTACGATGACCTACTCCGAGTGGACACCGGAGGGAACGTGAGAGGCAAGTCTTCGACAACTATGGTCGCCTTCGCGGATGATGTCGCGGTGGTGGCGACGGGACACACCTCAGGCGTTCTAGAACAGGTGACAAACGAAGCGCTGGAGAAGGTGGCGGAATGGATGGAAAGAGCAGGCCTCACCCTTTCAGTGGCTAAGACGGAAGCGGTCATGCTGACCACCAAGAGGGGCTACGACAGGCCAAACTTAGTACTACGAGGAGAACGAGTGGAAATAAAGGACCAGATCAAATACCTAGGTCTGGAACTTCACAGAGTGTTAGGGTTTAAAGCGCACTTGCAGGCGGCAGCGAGGAAGGCGCAGACTACGGCCCTAGTGTTATCAAGGTTAATGCCTAACCTGGGCGGCGCTGGACCAAAGAAGAGGAGGTTACTTGCCACGGTGGTCGAGAGTAAGCTCCTGTATGGGTCACCTATATGGGCTAGCGCTCTCAAGCACCAGAGGAACGTCGACATAATCCTGAGGCCCCAGAGAGTTCTGGCACTTCGAGCTGCAATGACATACAGGACAGTCTCTACGGCAGCAGCAATGGTCATAGCGAGTATCATCCCGGCACACCTATCGGCGTCGGAGAGACATGAACGGTACATTCGCAGAGGAGAGAAGGACAAAGCAGCGGTGGGCAAAGAAGTACGTGAGACCACAATGAGGAAATGGCAGAAGGAATGGGATACGACTGAAAAAGGCAGATGGACCAGGAGACTAATTGCAGACCTAAAAGCATGGACGGAACGGAAACATGGGACCGTAGGTTTCCACATGTCGCAATTCCTATCAGGACATGGATGCTTCAGGTTCTACCTAAAAAGATTCGGGAAAATCGACGAGCAGTCTTGTCTCGATTGTGGGGAACCTATCGACGATGCGGAACACGTGTTGTTCCGGTGTGGCAGGTGGTGGAGAGAGCGGCGAGCACTGGAAGTGGTGCTTAACAACGATCTACAACCCGAGACGCTGGTTAGTTGCATGTTGCAAAATAGAACGAAGTGGGACGCGGTGAAGGAATTCACGAGAAACATCCAATCGGTGAGAGAAAATGAAGAACGAGAAAGACAAGCTGAAGAGCGAAGACGAATCGAGGAAGTGTGGTAACATAGAAGATAAAAACTGTTAGTTAAGTTAATTTTTTATTGTGCGCTGAAAGCGGAAGTTAGAGGGATAGAGCCCTCTTAGTATTGTAATGATCGTATTGTCGGAGAATTGTATTTATTTGCTATTACAAATAAACGATACGGATGCAGGGGGAAGGACGGCCCGACACGGGTGAAGTGCCCCCCTGTAGCGCCGTGATTCCACACACAAAAAAAAAAAAAAAGGTACTTGACACACCTTGTTGACGGGAAGCTAAGCGAGCCGCATTTCACCGTAATTTTGTTGTGTTTGTTCCGATTCGTGAGAACGATGTCCTCTGTTTTATCGATGGCCAGTTCTAGGCAGTTATCGCGCATCCAATTGTTTACCTCCTGGAGTGCCACCTCTAGACGCTCCTCTAGCAGGAAAGGCACGGATGCTGTTCCCACTACAGCGATGTCATCGGCAAACGCAATGATTTCCACGCCCGTCGGAAGGTGTAGTTTCAATAAGTCGTCATACAGGACGTTCCATAGGTCGGGTCCGATGACCGAACCTTGGGGCACTCCGCAACTCACTTGAATCGACCGCTCCCCGCTTTCTTCGCTGACCAAGATCGACCTGTTTGACAGATATTGTCCAAGGATGTTCCGAAGGTACCTCGGGGTCCCTTTCCGTTCGAGGGCACTCAAAATGCCCGTCCAAGAGGCGCTGTTAAAGGCGTTTTGGACGTCAAGTAGCAGCATCCCCACGAACAGGTTCCTCGATTGACCTCTGCCATTCGCTTCCTGGAAAATACTCCTCACCCTGGACATGGCGTGGAGAGTAGACCTTCCGCGTTTGAAGCCATACTGGTTGTCGGTGGTGTTTCCAGACGTGATCAGGTACTCGCGCAACCTCGCCGTTAATAGCTTTTCGAAAAGTTTACCTGTCGAGTCCAGCATGCACAGTGGACGATATGCAGACGGATTGTCCAGCGCTTTGCCCGGCTTGCGGAGGAGAACTAGTCTTGCCACCTTCCAGATATCGGGATAGACTACGCCACTGATACAGTTATTGAATAGGTCTGCAAAGAGTTGGGGATGCAGGCCGACAGCTACTTTCAGCACCTCATTGGGTATCCCATCTGGCCCTGGTGCCTTACCGTTTGGCAGTGACTTCGCGGCAGATGCCACTTCGCCTGGTGAAAAACGGGCTTCATCCAATTCCTCTTGTCTGACTGGAACGATCTTGCTCGGGATGATTGCTCTTGTGGGAAATAGAGTGCCCACAATGGAATCCAGGCGTCCTGGCAGGCTAAGGCCTGGAATCGGTCTTCTGATGTTCAGCTTCTTCATCACTATTTGGTACGGGTTGCCCCAGGGATCGCTGTCCACAAGCTCGCAAATGCCTTTCCAATTTTCCTCCTCCAATTTTCCTCCTTTGCAGCCAGGATCATGGCAGACAAAGTTTTCCTTTCATGTCTGAAGGTTTCTAGCTCGACCGCGCATCCAGCTGTATCCGTTTTCTTCCTCTTTCTGGTATAAGCCCTACGGGATCGGAGGCACTTCTTCCTCTGTTCCGCTATATCTGGATTCCACCACGGAACCGGCCGACGTTTGTTGTCGCCCGATTTAGGCATACTAGCGTCGCATGCCTTAGTCAACCACCGGATGGTCGTGTTGCATGCTTCTTTGGGTTCCTGGTTGGTCACGTCTACAACCTGGGTCAACGACTCTTTGAGTTTAACACGGTCGAGCTTCCTAAAAGCCCATCCATTATGGGTCGGCTTCAGGTGTTGCTTCCGTGTCGCGCCAATGGTATACCCAATATACTTGTGGAGGCTAAGGGACTCCTCGTCGAGAACGTTCCAATCTCGCACCTGGGACGCAGCGGAATTCGACGCAAAGGTTAGGTCAAGGTGGGACTCCGAGGCGCCTCTCACGAAAATCGGCGCATTGCCCCGGTTGCATGTAGTTAGTCCTAAGGATGCAGTGAGGTCAGCCAACGCTTTTCCTCTGGCGTCCTCTCTGGGGCTGCCCCATTCCTGTGACTTTGAGTTGAAGTCACCGGCAACAATGACTGGGCACAGCGCTTCCCTGACACTGGATTCAAGTCTCCTCAAGAACGTCTCGAACTCGGTGAATGGTACGTTGGGGGAGCAATGACAACTGTACAGGCGGAAGCCATTCATTTCGATCCACCTGAAGCCTGGCAGACGTGGCCCGATTGTGTCGAGTTGGTGCCTTCCCAAGACCGCAACAGCCGCCCTTCCGCTCGCGTCTGCGTACCATCCGTCATTCTCGTCCTTATCCCGGTACTGTTCGCTTATAACTAGGAGGTCTATCGCCTTCGCATTGGCAGTTGCCATTGCAAGGTCCTGCGCCGCTCTGCACACTCCAATGTTAATTTGGAGGATGCTGGTCATTGCGAGACTACTGGCTCTCCTCTCTGTCCAACAGCCGCGGCGTGGCTGGCGCCGTTGCCTTCTAACAGCCCGGCGAACTCCTTTGCCGCTGCGCTTGAAGCGTCACATTTCACAGCTCTGTGGCCACGATCGCCGCAGCGCCTGCAACTTTGACTCCTGTCGGGGCCACTGCACTGGCCACCCATATGGCCAGGCCGGAGACAGCGGAAACATCTAACCCTGCCTCGGTCTTCCCAGATGCGTACACGGCAGTTGACGTAGCCTACCCTTAGTTTACCCGCAGATAGTACACGGTTTACGGTTGTCGCTGGGATTGACACGATGACCCATTTTTGTCCTCTTAGCTGCTCCATGGTTGAATTAACCTTAACCTCCTCGAGATTTGTATCCGCTAGGCTGCAGATGGCTTCTACTACTTCTTCTGGGGACGCTAGCTCATCGAGGTCTTGTACCACGATTTTTGAGAATTGTGCCATTTCTTTCACCCGTTCGCGGTCGCCTACCGCTTCTCCTAACGCCTTGGCCATAGGAGCTGTTCCTGCCTCGCCGGGTGTGAAGCGCACGAGCAGGTTGCCATCCTTGGTTTTCGTTAGCGCTGTAATTGAATCTGCAATTTTCTTCACCAATTCGCTTTCTTTTACTCTTTTAAGCACCTCCGTGTACTCGCCCTCCTTGGCTCGAACCAGGAACGCTGGTGGCTTCTTCTTCGTAGTGAAACGTTTCTGGGAAAATTCGCTAGCTCGGCCTGGGCCCTGTTCGGCTCTTATTTTGGGTAGAGCGGGCCTCCGCTTTACCACCTCCGTCCACTGCCCGGAGTGTACATCCCGACTTGCCCGAGCAGTTTCTGCTAGATTGGTAGCTGCACTGGCCACCAGTGATTTTATGATTTCACCCTCTTCCGTTAACTTGGAGTTGATCTCCCGGATTTCTGCAAGGACAGGCGCGGCTATGTCCGTCGTGCCCGCTGCTGTCGCGAAGGGCGACGCGCCCCTTGCCTGCTCGTTCAGCAGTACTGCTACTTGCTGGCGTACCATCCGAGCGCTGGATGCCTGCTTAAAAACAGTTACAGCCTCGGCAAGTGCAGCCTGGACCGGTTTTGCAACATTCTTGGAATCGCGTACTGCCTCGAGCATCGTGAAGAGCCTCCAGCCAACTCTCTCAAAGCACTCACTCTCTCCGCCTTGTCTTTAGTCGCCATTATCTCCCGGAGCTGATCGTTTAATTTGCCCGTTAGTTTAACCGTCTGTGCCGCCTGGTTGCTGTCGCCGCTGGCGATCAGTTTGTCGGCCAAAGTTGTCCTACCTTGATCCGCGCCTGGAGCGGGAGCAGTTGCCTCGGTGGCTTTCCGGCCACTGGAGAGGGCCTGTTTTGCACCCTCTCTGGCAGTTGCATTACCAGCTCCGTTGCTGGCGGTAGAAGCCTGCCTCAGCACTTCTACGCTTTTAGTGCTTACGGGTGATGACGACACCTGGGGCGAGCACCGTCCCCCAACCGCCGGCTCTGGGGTTTCCGAAGCCCCTGTAGCAGTAACATCACGATTTCTGGTTGTACTCATCATTCTGTATGTTTGTTTTGGCTGGGCTTCCACTGACGACACCAGCCTCGCGTCGCCTGTCTGTTTTCGGTCGATTGCCGGATCTTCCGAGACACCGGGGGTCGATCGTTCCCCCGGTGGTGAGCTTGTCCGCGACCGCTTATTCGACCAATCCCGAAGGGTATGGCTTATTTCGCGGCTACCCTACATATCTGTAGGGCTTTCCCCTATCCGCAACCTGGGGACGCGCTCGGTGGCATGCTCATGCAGCCGGGAACCTTTTTTTTTTTTTTTT